ATGAAGATTGTCTCATGCTCTGCACCTACAGCGCCAGGACAGTCTCCACCAACGCCAATCTCACGCTCTTCTCAAAGCTACAGGGCGCATCAACTATCTCGTAATCGCCTTGCAGGAAACAAAGTCCAGGAAGACGTACGTGAGGCAGCTGAGTGATGGCACACTCATCATTTGTGGTGAAAAGGATCCATCACGGAACGTTGGAGGCATTGGATTTGTCGCACACTCATATGTTGTCCGTCTTGTCGATTCGCATGCATTCCTATCACCTCGCCTGGCTATCCTTCGACTCCGTCCTCCGCATCAGAAGGCCATCACCATATTCAACTGCTATTCTCCAACATCCAGCTGATGATTCGGAACTTGATGCTTTTTATGAGGATTTGGAGGAAGTCATCCGCCTCCTTCTATAAGTTCGTTGTGGGTGACTTTGCGGAAATCGGGATGCCAGTAGAAGGGGAGCATAATTAGGAGAGGATCAGGACTCCGGAATGAGAATAGTAACCGTCTTGTTGGGCTCTTATTTGCCGTACGATTTTTTCATGGCAACTCCATCTTCATGAAAAGAGATCACCGGCGTGAATATGGGAGTCACCCGATGGTATGACTCATGCGGAGATCGTCTATATTCTCACCAACCGAAGGTAGTGCTTACTGACCTTTTCAATGGTACCATCCTTAGCAGTGGTTCAGTGGTTGAGTCACGGCCTCCTTCAAGCAAAAGTGTGATTCAGCCGAAAGCTGGAAAAGAAGATCTGTCACTGTGTTGGAGGGGGAGAGAAGTCGCATCTGACGGCATGAGATTGGAGGAGCTCCTGAAAAGTTGTAACTGGCCCATCGAGGAGGACCCGACGAAAGATACGACGTGCTTCTTAGAGGACTGAGAGCCTGCGGTGAAAGCGCCTCAATGCCTCGTACAAGGAACTTGGAACGGTTTTCGAACGCCATAAAGGATCTGCTAGAGAAGAGAAGAGCACTATGGCTGGATTCGACTGCATCACATCTCGAGCGACTTTTAGCCACTATCAATTGCAGAACACCTTTGCAAGAAGATCTTTGAAAAAGTGATCGAAATTTTAGAAGTAGTACAAGGAAGGAAAGGTTTAAAGAAGTACTCAAGGACCTTCTCGATTACCGTGTTCCGCTAACAACATTATTAAACGATGACCTTGTAATCGATTCCATCTTCTGTCGGGACTCGCACATCCTCCCGACAGAAGATGGAATCGATCACGAAGATTCTACACCGATCTCCTTCGCTCATGAACACCTGTGTCAAACCCCGTTATCCCCATTGGAGAATTACCACCACGGACGCTCAGGCCATAGAGGCAGCGGACCGGACCATGTTTCGGCCGATTTCTCACGAGCGGAAGGACATTACCTACACAAGCCACTTGCGGCACACCTGTTCTCACTTGCATATTAAGGACACTAGATGAAGCCCAACCTTTAGAATAAGCCGGATCCCGCCGGGGATTCAGCTGCGTGGATCACATCCAGACAGTTTTAAGGATCATCGCGGTTTGCGAGTACCGCCTACCTCTCGTCCTAACCTTCGTCAACTATAAGAGAGCGATTGACAGCGTCGAGACTATTGCCATACTGTCAGCTCTCGTCAACCAAGGGGTGGACCCATCTTAGTGAGGACATTGGCCGACTCCTACAAGAATTGTTCTACAACGGTACCGCTTTCCGTCGCCCCCTTAACATACCAATTTCGAAGGGGGTTCGACAGGCGGCAGCGTGTCACCAAGCTGTTTACCGCTGCCTTGCAGGATCATTGAATGTGAACGAGAGAGGTATACGAGTTGGTAGGAGATTTTCTCAAAACTTCCTTTTTCGGCGACATTGTTCTCTCGCGAGCAACACCACTGAAGCGGAGACGATGTTGAAATAACTAAGCGAAGTAGGGAAGCAGATAGGACTGCGAATCAACCGGAAGAAGACTCAGTTCATGAAGAACGTTTTTTGCGAGGATCATGAAATTTAATAGAAAGGCTCTCCAGTTTCGGAGACGTCTCCTTACGTTTATCTCGGGCGTTCGAGAACTTGAAGAACGATCTGA